ATAAACAGATGCCTCGTACGTTCTATTTTAAATATCGGCTCAAATTTCCCCTAGTGCAATGTTAGACGAAGGTGAGTTAACAAGGTTTTAGCTTGAAAATACTTTTGAAGAAGTGTTCGAAAATTTGAATTTAATTAAGTTAGACACAAGTTATATGAAGTATGAAAATACGAGCGTCTACACGAGAGAGTCTTAAGAAATACTTAGTTTGAACATAAGGAATATTTAAAGAGAGTTGCCACGTATTTAAAAAGTGAAATTAAAGTTATGTAACAAATTGGACTAATAATTAAAAGATGAGTATCTATCGAAATAGGATTGCTAAAGCTTTATTTCTGAAATTTAGAAGGGCTGCCGCCTGTTTCAAAAGTCGAACTTAGTTAACTAATATGCAGGTTATTTGAAATATTAAAAAATGCGTGTAAAACGAAAGAGTGTTTAAGAAATGTTTAGTTTGACCATTTAGAATATTTTTGAGGGGTTTCAAAAGGGTTGCAACGTGTTTAAAAGGTTACATAAAAATTATTGGCCAAGTTAAATTAGTTATTAAAAGATCGGTATCAATCAAAAAAAGTGTTTAATTTTCTGAACTACATTTAAATTGGTTGCCACATGTTTTAAAAATCAAATTCAACCTAATTCATCAGTTTATTGAAATATTTATCACAAAAAAATTCAGATGAAAGAGATGTAAGATGATTTCAGCTCGAAAATACTTATAGGTCATTAGTTGCACGGATTTAGATAAAATATGGCACTTAGATCGCTTATAACTCTGACTAGCATTTGAAGAATTTTTAAGGTTTTTGAAATAAAATTTTGGGCGTTTTAACAAATGAACGTAAAACGCTTAAAATGTCTAAATTTATTTTTTTTAATAAAAAAAAAAATGTTTTATCTAAATTGAGTTACTCTCAAATGCGTATATATTTTTATTTAAAGGTCGAAAATGGTTTTGTTTAACCTTAAAGTTTGGTATGAATGATTAACAAACTCTAACACTGTAAAACATATTATTTGGTATTTGAATTTATATGCAAATTTAATAGTCCCGAAAATCCGGAAGTAGTCCAGGAAATCCCGAAGTAGCCCCGAAGATACCGATATAGTCACGAAAATCCCAAAATTCTCGAAAATCCCAAAATAATCCCAAAATCCCTAAATATATTAATTAATTACTAACTTGGTAAGCACCCTCTTTCGCAGAACTGGAAGTTGGAAAATACTTGAAAAATGTATTTGGGTTGCACAAACCAGTTTTATTTAGTTGAAAAATCACGCATCAAATTAATACGCTGTACAAATCAAATCAAAAATAAATTTTATTTCTTACTAGATCGCCCTCACCCGCTTCGCTGAGTGTATGAAATTTCAACGTGCTTCACTGAGTAAAATTTACATGAAGAAAACTCAATTAAAAAACATGAGGTTTAAATTTGTTTAACCGTCTTCAAAATATTTTCAAACTAAAACTTCCTTTGTCATACTTTTTTAATTAACGTATCCCCTCAACAGAATTTGAAATTTTAAACAGATGGAAACCTCTTACATGCAGTATTGAAATGAAACCCTTGAAAACCCATTTCGATTGATACCCATATTATAATAAATCATTTAAAATATTGAATAGTTTGCATTTAACCTTTCAAAAAGATGGAAACCTATGTGATACATATTCAAAACCATTTAGATTCATACCAATCTTCTTTACTAATATATATTTTGAAAGCCGTTTTTTATGTGTTCGCAAAGCTCGAAAACGGCCGAACCGATTTCTTTGAAATTTCAGGCACCTGCCCCAGATGCCCCAAGGATGGTTGTAGGCTAAACAAAATTTCGATGTATAAAGGGGGCGTGGCACCTCCCATATAAACCGATTGCATATCTCTGGATGTGTTCATGGAAATCAATCTTTTACTCATGGAGAAAAATTGGCTATTTGGAAACCGTACAAACACATACATATAATTCTTTTATATGCATGTTTGTAAGTGAAATCCTCCTAAATGCCTGGAATGATTTTAACAAAGTTTTTTGTGTGCTTTTGAGTGGCTCGCTGGATAGTGTAATTTCACAATTTCACTTGTCAGTTGGCGCTGGAGTTAAGTTATTACTAAAAATCTTATTTATGATCCACTTTGGCTAATATTCAAAATATGTATTGGTAACGGTAAAGGCTATACCACTGCCAAAAAGGGCTGCCAGGTGGCGCTGAAGTCATCACGAATAATCGCCAAGTTAGAAAAAGTGCCGTGAATATCAGATTAAATCGATCTGCTGCACCACTGAGTATATCGAACTCTTTTGTGTTATGATTGGCCCAATGGATGTGATTTGCCAGTATTATAATGCGTTGAAGCTTCATTCGGAGACACCAGGGTTGAGTTGTGCAGGGGTAAATCTCAAAGCACCACCGATAAATCAACCGCCAGGACCATTGCGCGCCTTTTACTGTAATACTTAATTTAAAATAATTGAATTTAATTTTCAAAAAGGTGGCAACCCCTGTGAAAGACTTAAATTTTATTCAAAACTTTCAAACTAAAGGTTTCTTTACAATATTTCGTTAAGCAACCATATTTTAATTCTTCAGATAGCTTGCGTATAATTAATTTAAATTTGACTTTTCAAACAGGTGGCAACCCTTTTCAAAATTTATTCGAACTACAGCTTTTTTAAGCCTCTTGACAATCATTTTTTTATATAATTTTGAAATAAATAACTCCCTTAATTGAAGGTGAATTTGATTTTTTTAAAGGGTGGCAGCCCTCATCCATGAGTAAATAATGATTTTATATATCTCCATACATAGTTCCAGTAATCTATCAAAAATATTTCCTGAGTAATGCAGTATGACAAATTCCGTTTGTATGGGGGGTGCCACGACCCCTTGTCTAGTCGAGATTAAATCTACCCTATATTTTAAGTTGGGCTAAATGACAGCAGTGTGCAAACTTTCATGATGATCGGTTGAGTAGTTAAAGCGTGAAAGCACTTTCGGATTTATAATATTAGTAAGGATTTGGTTGACCAATGGCATCACAAATAAAAATAATTTTTTATTCAACTTGGGCCAAGAAAAATCTGAAATGTGCTAGTCTTCCACGCAAAAATCTGAAATGTCCTACTCTTCGTAGAGACCGTCGAAATGTGGTAATTTAATTCCATACCGTGTCTGTTTAAACCACCGTAACTACAGCCGATTTCATGAAGTGTTTAATTATCCGTTCGTTTGTCATCTGCAATGTATCTGTTTTTAATCCCTCTTCTTAAATTAAAGCCCATTCAATTCGGACTTTTACTATGCTCTAATGCTCTATGTTGTTTTCTACTATATTGTTATATCTGGTAGTAGGAAAAGTCCAAAAAGGGCAACAACAGGATTGCGAGAAAAAAGCTATAATAAACACTAACAGATACATACATATATGTAAATCACCGAGCTATAATATTTATAAAAACTCTTTCAGTGTTATATATATTTTTACTGTTACAAAACACGTAAACAACATGAAATACAATTTTTTGTGCTGCACTATGGGCCAGCAAACGATAAAAAGTGGCCAATATTCGAAATCTTATCGGAATGGCTTACAACTTGCTACAGGGGGTTTTTGTGGTCGGAGATTACGAATCTGAAGTTACATTTTAAAAATTCAAAATGGCGGATCCAATATGGCGGCCATTATTGTGTAAAGTAATCGGATTGGCTTGAAACTTGTTACTCTGTGAATTTCGGCCTCACTGAACGCGAATTTGTAGCTGAATTTAAAAAATTCGAAATGGTCTGGTCAGCCTACATAAAATGAAGTTTCCGAAGCCCACCAGGAGGAGGCTACACTGCGAATGTAGACTTCACTTTTTAATTTTTTGATATTTTTTGTTTTCGTTTGTATATTTATAGTTTTTGTACGACTTACGAATGTAGACTTCACTGTTTTAATTTTTTATATTTCGCATTTTTTGTTTTTGTTTATATATTTTTTTACGAATCACGAACTTAGACGTCGCTTTCAGTTTTTTTTTTTTGTAGTTCTGTTTACTTTTGTTTTTGTTTTTTTTTATATATTTTTATTTTTTTTCCAATTCAAGCCTTTTTTTATTTATTTTTGTATTTTTAATTTTTTTGTTTTTTATATTTTTTATTTCTTTACCAATTACGAATTTAGCCTTGGTTCTGTATTTTTGTTGTATGTTATTTGTTATTGTTTTTCCTTATTTTACTTTTTCTTTTTTAAGTATGTTTAAGTAAGTATGTTTAATTTCATTAAATTAAGGTGGTTAAATGCTTCTCTCCGAAAAAAAAAAACAATTTTAAATTTCAGTTTTTAAATAAAAAATAAAATTAAAGTGTGGAATTAATTATCTATAAGTAGTGATAAACACAACTAAAAAAAATTTCAAAATGTGCAAAATTTAGCAAATTCTTCTTAAAGTGTATTTAATAAACAATAAATTTTATGTTTTTTTTCATGATGATACACAGGAGTACTACTAAACGACAACGAGCACAATTCATAAAAATGAAGGTCTGGCTCATTACAAATAACGTTTTATTTTAAGCAAAGGCTATTTCGAATTATGATTTTCTATTTTTTTATATTACTGCCTAATAAGAAACAAAAGACAAAAGGAAAATATTTATTATTTTCTGGAAAAAAAATTTGATTTTACTTTACACCGGACAATTTACATGAAATACAAATATTTTCATCGAAATGAAATTGTGGGCGCAATATTGAGGCAATTTCTCTAATATTTTACTAACAGTTACCTTAAATACTGTATATTTGGGCTATAAGCATAAAAAATTTAAATTCTAAAGTTGACCTTTGGCCGTTTTTTGAATGCCTACTGGCCCTCTGTGCGCTGCTCAATACGCTTGCATAAATTGTACATACATAAATATGTGTGTATGCACTAAATAAACACTTATTGTTCTTTTAAACGTTGCTTCTTATTCTTATTTTTAATTTTTTACAAATTTTCCAATTTTGCAGCTCATCACGCACTGAGCCACCGGATCTAGTTGGCATTATGCGCGTCACTGATGACATGATTGATTCATTGGTTTGTCCACCACCCCCGTCAGATCCGCCCGTAATGAGCGAGGAGATGATATCCGGTTTAATCGTACCGGCGCCAGGTTGGAGTAAGTAAAATATACACACACCCACACAAATATATGTGTACATATGTAGCAGGCACGCGTGAGCGAAACACACACTTACATAAATGCATACCATAATAGCTATACAAACATACTAAAACTCATCTTGTACCAAGCCCCAGCCAGCCATTCAGTTAGTTAGATTATGTGCGAAAGCTGACAGCAGTAGCTGAAGCAACGTGGCTTATTCGCTGCTTGCATAAATAGATTAAAAATATGTCAACTGTCAAAGTGCAATGAAGTTGCAATAAAATGACGCGCACACACAGCATCATACTTTCCGCAGCAGACGGTGGCGGTGAATTTGATGCGAGCTGCATCAACCTCGACACCATCAGAATGGCTGGGTGATTTTTGCCAGGCAACTGAGGCTGGGCTGTGACCCTTGATTGCGTTAAGTCCAGCAGTAATTCGCTGAAATTGCAAAAATGTATTCATTAAAATTTCAGTGAAACTGATGGTCAAAGTAGAATAGGGAATATGCTGTTTGTTGCTTGCCGTTTAAAAATCAATATTTTATTAGTAGACGGCTGGGAATTCGGTGAGGGGATATATATACATACGCATGAATTTCGAAAAAGCAAATAACTAAATAATTTCGTCTTTGTATACTTGTAATTATATACACTCGGAGGTTACCTGTCGAGGGACGACCGCTGTTAAAAAATTTATATTTTTAGAAGAAGCTCCGACCAGGAATCGCACCTACAACTACCTTCAGTTTATTCTGCTTTCACCGCAATAAACTCACCATAGCAAAACACGTGATGTGTAGACCTTAAAGTTGGTATTTCAGCTGTTTAGCCAATCTTCAAATAGTAGGATGCTTCTACTTATTTCAGCATCTACATCATTTTCGTTGGTTAACTAATATGTCATCTATGTGTTAAGGTGTACAAAAGTGTCAGCAACTTCAAAGGCAATCCTTTAAACCTTAAAGATGTTGTCGACGGGGCTGTGGATTTTTGATACTGCAGCGGAATCCATCTTCTTTGTCACAATATATTCTTATAGAACTATGCCCAGATTTATTCCGGAAATATATTTACTAGCCTGATACCATGTCAATATCGTCTGTGTCGTCGGCCAGCAACTGTACTTTTGGCATCTCTTATAATCTTTTTTAGTGTCAGCTTAAGTAAAAAACATGAAAGGCTAACATCTCAACGCACTAATGAATCTTGATGACCACTGCGTTGCCACTGGAAAAAAAAACTATTTCCGGCTAAACGTCCTATCAAAACAAATGAAAGCATACCAAAGATTTTTATCCTAGAGGTTGTAAGCGTTTTACTGTCCGAAGCGGCTGTAAATTTTACCTTGGCGAACTGCCTTCAAGCAAGTCGCGCCGCTTACCATCACTGACCAGCTGCTCCTCCTCTTCAGGATCTCTAAAGCCTAATCACGCAAAGCGTGGCTTTTTTAAACGACGAGGTTTCGCTAGCTGAAGCTATATGAGTTTGATATCGATGACACCCAGAGAAAATGTCATCAGCAGGGGCTTTAAATTGAAATATTCTTTACTAAATTTTTATTAATATTAATATAATATAATATTAATTACAAAAGGCTTAGACAAAATATCTATACATAATTGCTCAGTCATACGACTTACATAGTTAGCGCGATCTTAGGCAACTACAGAATCGAATTATATATAAAATTAAAGTGCGAGCTACATAGGTTATCGAAAATTATCAGATTCCAAATCGGAGAATCGGATAGAAGTTCTCAACCTATATATAACACTATATATCACTTTGCTGGGTATTGTACCAAATCGATTTTTCTGAAGAGATTGAGTCATAATTATAAAAGTATTTTCTCCATATTTCGAAGTTAGCCTCAGAAATGGAGATTTTGGGCTTCGAAGTTGGACCTTTGGTAAAAAATTATTTTTTGTTATTGTATGTAAACAACTAAAAAAGTAAAAATGTAGACGTACTCCGGTTTTTGCTCTTATTTAAACGGCATCTAACTTTTTGTGTGCAAACTTATATTACAGGTGCTAAAAGGGATCAAAAATCAGTTCACATTTTTTTTTTTTTTTGAAATACAATTTTTCGAATTTTTCGAAGATCTGACTTTTGACCCTTTATAGCACATGTATTGTAATAAGAGCAAGAGGCGGACCGCGACTATATTTTTAATTTTTTTAGTTTTTTACATACAATAATTAAAAATAATTTTTTACCAACGGTCCAATTTCGAACTTCGAAGGCCCATATCTCTATTTCGGGGGCTAGCTTCAAAAAACGGAGAAATTACTTTTTTACTTATGAGTCTTCCCTCCTCTTCAAAAAAAAAATATATCTTAAATTGCTCAGAAAAAAGATAAGTCGATTAAGTCATGTCTGTCTGTCCGTCTGCCTGTCCGTCTGTGACAACAAGGTTGTCCTTTATCCAAGTTAGGTTGGTAATAAGAATGGGCATAATCGGACAATAGCAGCACCCACCTCCCATATACGGTATTTTCAAAAAATGCATAAACTACGCTATTTCCGTAAATACTGGCTCCAAATTGCTGAAAGTGGGAATGTAAAATAGAATTTTGACAGTTATGAAATTTTTGGAAAATGGGCGTGGCACCCCCACTTATGATTAAATGCTGTATCTCTGTAGTCGCCTTAGAAATCCCCACCAAACTCGGTCGAAACATTTTAAATCAGGCAAGAACCACGCCCGCCTCCTATACAACGGTACATTACAGATCTACGTAAACTGTGATAACTTAGTAACTACTTAAGCCCTCACTACACTCAAAATCGATGTATGCAATGACCTCTTAGCAGAAATTTAAACTAAGGGAATTTTTTGGAAAATGGGCGTAAATAGCTAAAAACGCCAGTTTACTTCAACTTATAATATTCCCTTAACTAGAAACAAGATTACAGATATTTTAGAATAAGCAGTAAACCTGCCAGAACCACAACAGAAACAAAATAATAAATATTAGTCCATATAAGAAAAAATGGATCTATGGACTCACAGAACCGCAAAAGAAAATATGGCCGGAAGAAGTGTTTTCCTCTTTCGGCGGCATGCCAATTGTTTCCCTACGAGAACTATTCCGTATTGCAAGCAAACCATAACCCACAGAATCACCGTATTTATGTAACTAGCATGCCTGATATTCCAGCAGATGTGCAAGCAATCAAAATTTATCAAAACACTACTTCTATTAGTTACCAAATCATGCGTTAAGAGAAATACTTTTAGCTGACTTTTTTCTGGGTGTGGCCTGATGAGAATACTACTAGTTCTGTATCGATTGTGTGACAACATCAAGGCCACAAATCGGAGGAGAAGCTCGGCCAAATACCAATCTTATTACTCTTGTAGATTAGCTAACAGCCATAATACGTATACCAGTGCTGAAGATTTTAGAAATCCAGATACATATGTATGTAAGTAAATATATTTATGTATATATGTTTTCCTGTGTTTAATTTGAATTATTGCGTCCATAAAAGCGTCCAAGGTCTGATTATTTTGAAATTCTCGCAAAAAAAGAACTACCTATCAGCTTGGTAATGTATTTTTCAGTAACGCCATATGTGTATTAAAACTCCTATATTCTAATCAGTGACCCATTGAGCACGAATAAGATACTCACTTGTTTTTCCCAAGGGACTGCTTTTCAAATACATATAAGCAAAAACACGTTTTTCTGGTTCTTGCTCCAAATAATTATGGAAGAATCACTCGTCCTGAATGCTATCCAAAATATATGCTCTCTCTTCTAGAATTCTTGAAATGGCAACACTTAAAAACTTACCTATGTTTAATGCTTACGTACTTATGTACATTTTCTTTCGCTTTCATTGCATTTTCGCATTGTGTTCTCTGGTGTGTTTAGACTCATAAGAGGAAAATTGCGCAATTTTATATGGAAAGTAACAACTGAGACATTAAAATCTACTCACAATGGAATTTAAATCAAATTGCAACATTTTGAGTTGCGAACACGCTCGCTTTTGTTTACTATTCAGCAATAATATTTGTATAGCACACCTATACAAGCCCACATATTTGTATAAGCAAGTGCTTATGTACTCAGAGAAGCGCAACGAGTGTGTTCAAACTGAGTATATCCCACTCGCCATCCATAATTTGTTCTACTTACATATATGCATTCATACTTATTGAAATGACCTCGAACGTCATATCCACCGTCAGGCAAAAGGTATCTTTCATAATCATACTTAACAATATACCTGGAATGATTCACATGATTCCACTCATGCAATGAGTATTGTAGATCAAAGTCGGTTTAGCTGAGGATCAAACTTATTGAGGATGGTATGAGTATGATGACGACATCATATTCATATCTATGGCAACTTATACACATAAATCATTGTCGTAGTGCATATGCGTACATCAGAGTGGTGGCGTTTCCCTGATTTAGACGTACTTATATCCAAAATATGCTGAGTGGTGGATTCCCCACCAAACTAAATCAAAATAGGCACTCTTTGCTGATCACTATTATGTACATCTGAATATGTTTACTTGGGTACATACCGTGGGGAGCAGAAATTAGTGCACGGTGATTTTTGTTAAATATTTCCAAGGTTTTTAAAGTTGAAATTTTTTTTTATTATTTTTTGATAAATTATGGTTCATGCTTTAACCAAAACCATTTAAATAAGGTTTTCAAACTTTATGCAGAGCTTAGAAAAATTAAACAAATTTTCATTAAAATTTTAAAGTTTTGTTTTGCTGGCGGCTTTTGCGATTTTTTCATACAACAAGTGCTAATGATAAGAAGTAGCGTTGATTTTTTATTTCTTTATATAACTTTCCAGGTTTACTTATTGCCATTTGTAGTATTTGTTTTTTTTTTTTGTTATTTTGTACAATTTCATTTAATGCAGAATAGCCATTAATCTAAATCTAATCTAATCTAAAATACAGTAATTAGTTTTGGCTCATATGCACTACAAGTGGGACATACACATGCATACGTACATGAAATA